CGCATCTGCTGAGTGAATATTTTCAAGCTTTAGAATTATTAACTAACAGCGATCATTAGTGTTTACTTCACGTTACAGAGGCCATTGTCAAATAGCATTTTTTTAATAGTCCCATAAATACAGAATGGAAGTTGAGTGAACCAATGTTTGATCTGATAATAATAATTATTATTACTTCATTACACTCATATTATGGAGAACAACTGAAAGGGGACCAAAGAGGCAATCACTTCAACATGTCATGAGGTCCTGGGCCACAAGAAGCACCATCACAAGGAATGGATCACTGTTGATACACTGGATAAGATTCAAGAAAGGAGGAACAAGAAGGCAGCAATCAATACCAGTCGAACAAGAGCAGAAAAAGCCAAGGCACAAGCTGAATACACAAAAGTAAACCAACAAGTGAAGAGGAGTATCAGAACTGACAAACGTAAATATGTGGAAGATCTAGCAATGACGGCGGAAAAGGCTGCAAGAGAAGGAAACATGCGACAACTGTATGACATAACAAAGAAACTCTCTGGAAATCGCCGCAAACCAGAACGACCAGTCAAAAGCAAAGAAGGCGAGGTAATCACCAACATTGAAGAGCAACAAAACAGGTGGGTAGAATACTTCAAAGAACTCTTGAATCGACCAGCCCCACTGAACCCACACAACATCGAAGCAGCACCCACGGACCTCCCAGTCGATGTTGGCCCACCAAAAATTAAAGAGATCAGCATGGCCATCAGACAAATCAATAGTGGCAAAGCAGCAGGACCAGACAACATCCCAGCAGAGGCACTAAAAGCAGACGTAGCGGTAACTGCAAGGATACTCCACATTCTCTTCAATAAGATTTGGGATGAGGGACAAGTACCAACAGACTGGAAAGAAGGACTTCTGATCAAAATACCGAAGAAAGGCGATCTCAGCAACTGTGATAACTACAGGGGCATCACTCTTCTCTCAATACCGGGAAAAGTCTTCAACAGGGTATTGTTAAACAGGATGAAGGACTGCGTAGACGCCCAACTTCATGACCAACAGGCAGGATTCCGTAAGGATAGATCGTGTACAGACCAAATCGCAACTCTACGGATCATTGTGGAACAATCAATTGAATGAAATTCATCACTCCACATCAACTTCATTGATCACGAAGAGGCATTTGACAGCGTGAACAGAACAACACTATGGAAGCTTCTTCGATACTACGGCGTACCTCAGAAGATAGTCAATATCATACAAAATTCATATGATGGATTACACTGGAAAATCGTGCATGGAGGACAGTTGACAGACACGTTCGAAGTAAAGACCGGTGTCAGGCAAGGTTATTTACTCTCACCCTTTCTCTTTCTTCTGGTGATCGACTGGATCATGAAGACGTGAACATCTGGGGAAGCACGGAATACAGTGGACAGCTAGGATGCAGCTGGACGATCTAGACTTCGCAGATGATCTGGCCCTTCTATCACAATCGCAACAACAAATGCAGGAGAAGACGAACAGTGTAGCAGCAGCTTCAACAGCAGTAGGTCTCAATATACACAAAGGGAAAAGCAAGATTCTCCTATACAACACAGCATGCACCATTCCGATCATAATTGACGGAGAAGATTTGGAAGATGTAAAAACCTTTACATATTTAAACAGTATCATTGATTAACACAGTGGATCTGATGCAGATGTGAAGGCGCGGATCTGTAAAACAAGAGCAACATATCTACCAGTGAAGAACATCTGCAACTCAAAACAACTTTCGACCAACACCAAGTTCAGGATTTTCAATACAAATGTCAAGGCAGTTCTACTGTATGGGGAGGAAACCGGGAGAACTACGAAAGCCATCATCCAGAAAATACAGGTGTTTATTAACAGTTGTCTGCGCAATTTAGACAACCACTGGAAACCTGAAAGCTCTCGATTCCCCTTTTGTCCTCGTATCGGACTCCTCAGTAGTGCACATCTACGATCATGGACTCGGAAATCGAAGTCGGTATCTTCGGTATCAGAGGTCTAGTGAAAAGCCGTGACTAGTGGAATTTAACCGTTCTGGGTATGAAGCAGTTACCCACTGAAAACAATGAAATATGATATCGCGATATTGTGGATTTGTTGAGGACGTTAGATCCCCAGAACTCACTTGGGAAAGGACCTAATTTTGTAATTTTATTTAGAAAATTTGAATTTCTTTGTTTCCACGCCAAAGACGCTGTTGTCACCTTCATGTCGTATTTCCCACTGGGAAATATCTTAAATGCTATTGGTCCGTTGCGTCTTTTAGTATGCTATTTGGTAACTCTCCCCAAGGACGGTTTTGTACTGTATATATACGTTTTGAATTGTGTTTGTTGTTATCGCTCGTTTCTGGCTGTTTGCTGAATATACTTCCCCATTCCAAGCTTGAACTTCTCCCTCTAGTTAGTGGGGCTGGGACGCATCAAATAGCCAGCTTACTGGTCTTTGGTCACTGAGTCTTTGTTCTCGTTCGCAGATTAAGTGAAGTCGTGATAGCTTCAACCCTAGTAGGATTGATTAACATTATACATTAACACCGGCGGAAACCAGTTTAGTGATCTGGAAGTTAAGCGTTCTCATGTGAGACCTATGGTCCTGGGCTCGGTTTCTGAGCACGAAGTTGTCGATGTCGATGCCTGAGGAGTTCCTTACTATAATAAAATGTACGTCTAATCCTTCCAGGTTTTCAATGGTTGTCTAACTTAGATCAGTTCATAGTTTTAATGAAATATTAATAATTGTTATTATCAGATCAAACATTGGTTTTAATGAAATTCAATAATCTTTACACCCCAAGCTAATTATTATCATTATTATTATTATTTTGAAACAAGATCATTGTTTTTCACCAACTGACTTAATTATACTCTTTCATATTGAGAGTTAATTTTATGCTACTATTAAGTGATCACTTATATTTATAACAAGTAATGTTAATTATGACCCTATGTACTCTACCTTAGAAAATGTAAGATTTTATGCTTAAGTGTATATTTATGTGTATGCACATGTTTCAACTCCAAGATTTATTTTATATTCATTCATTATTGTATATTTAGTTTATTCTCATGATTTCCTATCTCATTTAAAAGTGAGTTTGCTAAATTGTGTCAATCATCTTTTTTTCTTTCTCATACTCTATTATTCATTGTAAATTTAACATGTTTTTTGAAGCTGATGAAAAACTATGTAAAAACTTCATCTTATTCTACAAATTTGTGAGTGAAATAATTATTGTATGGTAAGATAGAGATTATCAAATAATTATATTTTTACATGTGGTATTCGTCATCGATTTCTCTCATCTATAAGATACTAATGAAAGGAAAATCCTTGTATAGAGTTCCTCAACAGAGTATACTCACAATCTCATCAGGTTTCAATGAGAGTTCATGGTTATTCAACTACTTAATTGGTTCAAAACAGTACAAACTTTCAACTTCAGTCAATTTATAGGATTATGTGAAACCTATTCATTAACACTAATGATATTATTTCACAGTTTTGACTTGGTTAAATTACTGAGTATGCAATCTAAATAAAAATGGAAATAAAAGGTATCAGCTTGTTAAATATCATTAATAGTTCACTGAATTCTTACTTCAGGAAACGCAATATGAAAAATTAATACTTAGATTATCACAATAAATAGGTCTATCTAAATAATGATTTAAATAAAGTTCATCATCTAATTTTCTTTGAAAACCCAGAAAACTTTGAAAATACTACAAAGTTTGATCATGATGACTATTTCACATTGAACTATATCCAAATTTTAAATAAAAATCATTTTATCTGCAGTTTACTTGTGAAGATATGATATGTGGTGTCAGAGAGTTGATACTGATACACACTGCCTATAGATCAGCCCAGCTACTTGAGAAAAAAAACAGAGAGTGAGAAAGTTTTATTTGAATGAACCGAATTGATTGCATGTGCACTCATTTATGCATATATATATATATATATATATATATATATATATATATATATATATATATATATATATATATATATATATATATATATATATATATATATATATATATATATATAAGTAATGTCATGAGTATTTTGCTTTATTTCATCATATTTTCAAATATCATTTCATGTCACACTACTCAATTTGAATTAACCAATTTTTGTATCTTTTCATTAATATTAATGATCATTTGTACATTCTGAGTTGAGACCCTAAAAACTGTCTGGTATTCTTAAGTATTTTTAGCAAAGTTGGATGTTTGTGGGGCGAACTCTACTTAATTCAAATCATGATGAGAATTTCAACACTGAGATATAGGTCCATTCAGCTAATGACTACTACTACTAATACTAATACTACTAGTTTACTATCTAACTTTACTCAAGTATTCAATTTTCGGAGAACAATTTTATCTTACACAGACACTAAAATCATCAATACGATTTAGTAACTACAGCAATCATCGTTGTTGACATCGTATTTCATCAATATTAATAATAATAATAATAATAATAATAATAATAATAATAATAATAATAATAATAATAATAATAATAATGGTAACTAGAATAATAAATCTAATTAAACAACCTACATGTAAGGTCATTCATCATCATTTTCTATTCATAAAATCAAACAATATTCATCCTTAATTCTCATTGGTTAATACATGAAACTGTTTAAAAATATTGACTATCCATATGTCTATCTATCTATCTAGTTGATTTAATTAATGGTATCTAGTTGGATACAATCCAAGTAATAGGTGAAGTAAGTAGATACATAATTAACTGTTAAGAAAAATTAAAAAAAGAAAACAAGACTAATTTATAGACACATCTGACTAATAATGAAAATTGTCAATTCATTACACCATAAAAGATGATGACAATAATGTACACATACCAATTTTAAATTATCTCACTATTATTGGCATCATTAAAGAGAATACATTCATGGAATTTGTTGGTTTTAATTAGTAAGCAAAGTATAATATGATCAGTGAAATATGGAGAGATTACAACAATTATTAAAACAGCAGTCATTGACACAAACACCCTTTCAACAACAACAACAACAGAAACAAATGCAGAATCAGTTATTCAATTCACAAAGCTATATGAATTCTACAAATTCCCATGAAAAACATGTTAATAACGAAGATGATGATGATGATGAATCATTACAAGAATTTTCAAAACCTAATAATAACCAAAGCCATCAACAAAAACAAACTCAATTACCACAACAGACACCGCCACCTATATACCAACAAAATTTTTCACAACAAGAACAACAATTAGAACAGTCAACCAAATCAGAGTTTTCATTTCGTCATCAATCACAAGCACAACAATCTTCTCAAGCATCATCGCTACAACCATCAATGGAGCAACCGTCAACATTGATGTCTTTGGAAAATACTCAACAACAGCAACAACAACAACCGACTGATCAACCATTCAACCGAAAATTTCGTCAATCTTGGCGTAAAACTCCAGATAATTTACCAACTAAAGAATTGAAAAAAGCAACTAAATTACTAGATAATGATATTAGTTTACAAGATGACGATTATGAAGAAGAGGTGAGTAGACATATACAAGAAATCATATGTATATATATATATATATATATATATATATATATATATATATATATATGTTATTTCGAAATGGGTTTAAAGTTTCTGTTTGTTGTTTGTTGCTATTAGTAACGAACGAGCTATTAGTTGCTTATTCAGTGAAATTATTTCTTTTACAGGTTTAACCTATCTATATTTATTGAATAACATTCAACCTATCTGAAAATGTCTAAATCTATCAATTATTGTTATGATCATTCAATTGAAACAATGATAGATTGTTTTTTAAATGTGATAATTCTTGTTTATGTAATGAAAAGAGATTAAATGAAAGAAATTTATTCAATACTAGGAAAGTATTGTAGACAATTATCTGTCCCTTAAGTAACAGACATTTTTTGAAAAGTCGCTCCAAATAAAACTTTAACAATGAGGCTGATAATAACCATAATGTGGATACAGTATGTTTTATGCCATAATTGATTTTTTGATTTTTAGTCTGATTGGTATTTGACTAGCAACACAATCCAGAGCAGGTGTTTCGTTCTATTCAGAATTTATCAGTTGAGTGTGCCTATCATGTACCAGTGTTAATAACTTGCTGGTGTCTGAAGTGAAAGTTACTAGTTATCAGCATTGAGATGTGGGTATAGCTCTTAAATAAAATGAAATAGGTTTCCTCATTTATATAACCAACCATATACTAAATATATGATCACTTTTGATCGGAAAATTTACTAAGACAATCTACTCAGAATGCACATACGACAATGGCGACTATTCAAATAGGAATTTATGAATCCCTACTAATTGAGTGATTGTTGTTTGAATTCGGAGAAATAAATTTCTTTATCTCTCATTGTGATTAGTAGAAAAGTTAAATTTTAACAGTCTTATTTCATACTATCTAAATGATGAGGTTTATGGTTATTGTTTAAATTGTATTCCAAATTATTCATAAATTTAATAAGATTAAGCGGTAAATGTAAACTTTTAAATGTCAACTCAGTAGCATAATGATCGTGTGTGCTTTCCACAAAATCTGAAGGTGATTGATTCGACCACATGTACGATCAAGAGTGCTATCTGATTTTCTGTGATAATAAGTCAATGATGTAAACTAAAAATTATAATTTATTTACACCAAAAGTGAAAAAGAATGTATGAGTTGATATTCACTTGGTATTGTTTTACTTAAATCTTCCCATTGATGTTTAGGACTGCAATTGATCATTCTCTTATTGGCATATGTGCATACTGTGCGTATTGCCTTAATTTACAAGCATATCATGCATGTTCTGGATTCCACTGCCAGCCACTATCCATGATGATAATATCTGAACGAACCAATGAAATTAAAGATAACATGTCTTGGATTTGGGCGCAAAACTAATTTATCTATATAATTAAATAGTATCAAAATGGGTTTTGTAGAGATTTTAGAAATTTCACTGGTTGGAATCATGAGTCAATTAAAGCTAGACTATCATGGAAAACCTGGAAGCACTAGACGGCCGTTTCATCCTAGTGTGGGACTCCTCAGCAGTGCGCATCCACGATCCCGCACCCTGCGAGATTCGAACCCAGGACCCATCAGTCTCGCGCCAGGCGCTTAACCAACTAGACCACTGAACCGGCATCCAACGGTGTTAATGTCTAACTTCAACCAATCCACGAAGTTGCGCCACCGTACACCATTGTCTTCAGTGAGTTACTATCTCACAACAGACCTAGTTGAATTCCACTAGTATATTTCATAACTTTTTATTAAAGAATGATTTTCCATGGTAATGATAACATGAAAATGTAACATATTTGACTCATTGTTTGGTTGAAGAAGGAAGCTGGTAATTTAGCGAAGTAAACTTTCTTTTCAACTATTTCATTTACTTTAGGTGTACAATCATATTTTTACAGTGAATTTTATTTGCTAGAATTGTAGTCTGTAGACTAGATTATACTATTGTATTGTAATGAACAAAAACACAAACGGGGACAAGTAACTGTATTCGAATACAAAATTACAAAATCACTTAGTAAAGTCCGTACACCATACAGTAAATACTTCATTTCCAAAATGTTAATCAATTGTCTCAGACTTGATTGTACCTTTGTTTCTCTACCAGTTACTTTCTGTTCTCATTCTCTTCTTTTTGATCTTCTTAACTTTGTACCGCCATGTATTTCATATTCGATGAATGATACATACTACTTATATCTGTCAATATCAGTAGCGCACACCGCAGTATAGCTGATATATATATATATATATATATATATATATATATATATATATATATATATATGAAATCGTCGAAATTTTCTCCTCTAAATTGCATTCTTTTTTTTCTTTAACAAAATAACTGTTTGATGGCTTTCTTCTCGTTTTAAATACATAAAAAGAACTTGTATATATTTTTTATTAGTATTATTTTCTAGAGAGTATCTGAACTGTTATTCATAGGAGGAAAATTACTATTATCAAATATAGAAATTTTCATAATAAACGTAATTTATGATTATAATGACTAGAATATTTTAAAAGTGATTATATGTATCTATGTAAACGTTATTATTAGTATTATAGAAAAAAAAAGTTTTTTTTAAAATTTAAAATGAGTTATTTAATCATATGATTAAGTGAAGGAATTCTTTAATCGCCAACGTTTACATGTATATTGACAAACGTACATATATTACATATAAGTTACATTAGCTATTTAGGTCATAAGTAATCACACATCATAGTTGTCATGTTATTATTATTATTATTATTATTATAACTATTAAGTTTGAAGTTAGAATGAAAGGAGAAAAAATATTGAATTGTTAAATGATATTCATTTTATTATCATCATTAAAAGGAGTCAGTATTCGGATAAAGAAATAGAAATATAACTTCATATGACATATGATAGTTAGTTAAAAGCTAACAATGCTTTTATATTGTATCTATCTACCAGCCAAAAGCCAAGTATACTACATAGTTGTTTGTTCAGTTCTACTTTATGACTATAAATATAGTCTTTAAAAATGGAAAACATTTGTGGATTAAGAGCATTTGATCATCAGATACATTCGAAATACTTTACGGCTGCGAAATATGGCCATTAAGAGTGGAAGATACTCGTAAGCTACTAGTATTTGATCACAGATGCCTTAGAAATATTACTCATATCTGCTGGGATCACCGTGTAAGTAATAGTGAATTTAGACACAGGGTATTAGGGATGATGGTAAATCAGTTGATGAGGTTGTGAATCTTCATCGACTGAGATGGTTGGGCCACGTGTTGCGTATGCCCGAACACCAGTTACCACGACGCACAATGCTAGCCGGTGTTAGGGATGGTTGGAAGAAAGTTAGGGGCGGCCAAACCAAAACGTGTCAGCAGTGCTCAAAGTCACTAATTTCTAATCTGAGCCGTGTTGGTAGATGTAGACTACTTGGTTGGGGTACACGTGACTATCGTAACCAATGCTTGGAGACTCTTGGTGACATGGCTCTGAATCAATCACAATGGCGTCGGTGTATACAATTTCTGTCTTCCCTTAAACCGTGAGATTAAAATTGCTTTGTATCTTTCCTTATACGAACTAATTCTTTCTTACTGTACTATCTCCCTATATGCAATCTTTTTTTATATATTACCACCACTGAATTAACTACTTCTATGAATCCGGTGTTCATCTTGTTGTGTTAATGAGGTATGGCAACTTGGACCGATGGATAAATATTCCTGGTCCTATGTTGTAGCTGACTGACTGACTTAAGTATTTTGAAAACTACAGAGTACACTGGCGGTTAATAATTATCATCGACTGATATAAAATGTGTAAGGATATTGGTAATTTTTAAAAATATTACTCAAAAAATCAAGTTGGATGGATTAAAACATCAATTATACACTGTGAACATTAACTCAAAATTGATCTAAATCATTTTATACGTGTAGATAGTACATATTGTGTCTTATTATTTCGCAGTGTTATCTTTCTTTTGTTCTGCATAAATTTTCTTTTAGATTTGTATTCCTTTTTTTTAATTTTTACTTTAAAGTGCGCATCAACTAGTAAAGAACTTTAAACGGTTATGTGGTGACCCGTGGATCAGACTCCATTTAGAGCGTACGAATGATTTGCTATCGCCTATTCTCGTATATTATCGTCGACTTAAATTGCATTATCCAATAACGGAATTAAATAAGTCGAATAACGAGAATTGACTTGAGAATACATATATTTCGTACATGAAGCGAGTGAAACATAGCAAAGCAAAATGACAGGTATGGAAGGTGGCTGGGAAGCCAACTCCATTTTAATTACTCAATATTTATAGGCAGACAAAATAAACTACAGACATGTGATGAGTCATGGGACATGAAGTGTACACACATATACGCTCATATAAAAACAGTCAAGGCTAATAAGCGAATAATTAACAAGGTCAAAATATGACTCGAGTAGAATGAATAGAATGGAATGTCGGAAAACTAGAATAAGATATATTATGGGCTAAAACTAATGACTAACACTACAGTTACATGTTATTTTAACTTTGAAAGAAAATCAACAAATTAAGCTGACATTAAGTGTTCACTGCTTAGTGATCAATAAAGTTCTTCATAATGAAAAGATGGATAGTGGCTAGCAGTGGAATCCAGGACGCGCGTTTCGTCCTGTTTGGGACTCATCAGCTGGATGTACCTGGATCTCAGAGTTGATGTTCACTCTGGGACTAGAACTCAGTACCGTTCGCTTCAAACGCCATCGCGTTATCCACTTAGCTACTGAGTTGTGATAGCCACTTGCTTGTGCAACGGGGTGAAGTTTAATTCACTTGATATTGTTTTACTTGAATCTTCCCATTGATGTTTTAGGACTGAAATTGATCAATCTCCACTGCTAGCCACTATCCATCTTTGCTTATAATGCTTGTAAATAAAGGCAATATCGAGGCGTACGCACAGTATGCACATATGTCAATAAGAGACTGATCCATTT